CGAGGCACCTTAAAAGCACCTCATCCTTTCTCTTTCGGACCAAATCTTCATTCCACATAAGGTAGTTTAAAGCCATGATTCTGACTCTCTTCTCAGAGGGCAAAGTTGGATATCGTAGATAGGTAATGATATGATTTCTCCAATCATCTTCGGTGATTGTGGCAGAGTTGACATCTATCTCCATCCCCCTGGCCAGAACAGATGGTAGGCTTTTCTTTCATATCCTGATGATTCTTTGTACACAGTCTTCGGGCATTTGTACGCCTGTTGCCACCTGGGCCAATTCATTGGCCGCAAAATTTTCTTCCCTTGGGATATGTTCCCAAGTGTCTTCTTTCCCAAGTGGCTTCTCTGAATTCTGTCAGAAGATTCCTAGCTGCCACCAAGTAGACAGCCAAAGAAGGGCTTAGGCACTTGTATTCTCCAGCAATTTGTTTCAAAACTAGCATGGAATCTCCCAGAATTTCCACAGATTGGATTCCTAGTTCTACCAGTATTTCTAAGCCAATGATTAAGGCCTCATATTCTGCCCTGTTGTTGGTGCATTGGAAATCCAATTGGAAAGAGTAGCAGTGTCTGATTCCAAGTGGTTCTTCCAAGACAATTCCTGCCCCTGAAGTTATATCAGTTTTTGATCCATCAAAGTATAACTTCCAAGGTGCGAGATGAACTGAGTAGATAGGATTGTTGAGGCATGTGTGAGCTCTGGTTAATAGATCTGCATTTGCTATGTCTAAAGAGTCCATATTTTCAATCTCCTCTCCGGGATGATCCGCTAGGAAGTCTGCCACAACTTGTTCTTTGACGGCTTTCTGAGGAACATACCTGAAGACAAATTCTGTCAAGACCAAGGTCCATTTTCCAATTCTGCCTCTTAGCATTGGTCTTGTTAGCATGTATTTGATCAGATCTGTTTTGGCAATGATATAGATGGTGTATGGCAGCATGTAATGTCTGAGTTTTACAGCAGTGAAGTACAAGGCTATGCAAAGTCTTTCAATTACATAATATTTTCTTTCCACTTCTGTTAGAGTTCTGCTTAGGTAGTAAACCGCCTGTTCCTTTCCTTCCTTATTATCCTGAACCAATGAACTTCCAATTGATACTTCTGATGCAGATATATAGAGCTTGAGTGGTCTGCCTCTCTTTGGTGGGGACAGAACTGGTGGATTTGAAAGGTAATGCTTGATTTCCTCAAAAGCTTGTTGGTGCTGCTCTTCCCACTTAAAGGTTTGTTCCTGTTTTAATCTTAACAAAGAAGAGAAAGGCTGGATCTTTCCTGCAGAATTGGATATAAATCTCCTCAAAAAATTAATTTTTCCTAAGAGACTTTGCAATTCCTTCTTGTTCCTAGGTGGCAAAGCTTCCATGATGGATCTTGCTTTGTTTTTGTCGATCTCTATGCCTCTTTGGTGGACCAAGAATCCTAGGAAATTTCCCGCTTGAACTCCAAAAACACATTTCTTTGGGTTCATTTTCAGTTTATGCTGCCTCATTCTTAGGAATGCTCTTCTTAGATCTGTCATATGGTTTCCCTCCTCTGGTGATTTAATCACAACATCATCAATATAAACTTCCAGGGAATGTCCAATCATATCATGGAAAACAGAATTCATTGCCCTTTGATAGGTAGCCCCTGCATTTCTCAAGCCAAAAGGCATTACAGTGTATTCAAAAGCACCTATATGCCCTGGACACATGAAGGCTGTCTTGTGGATATCTTCTTCTGCCATCATGATCTGATTGTAACCTGCATTGCCATACATAAAAGATAGCATCTGGTTGTGGGCAGCTCCATCTACTAGCATGTCTGCCATTGGCATAGGGTACTCATCCTTGGGAGAGGCTTCATTCAGGTTTCTGTAATCCACGCAGATTCTGACTGCCCCAGTTTTCCTTTTTAGAACTGGTACAATAT